AAATGTAACTTTGAGTGAAGATTATTTTTATTAACTGTGACTGATATTTTATTATGTGCCTATTTTATTGCGAGCGTCTTATAAGAAGGTAAAAAGGTGTATGTGACAAAAAATTGAAGCAGCTATCGCTTCCGTAAGTACTTGCACCCCGAACTTCAGAAAAAAAAAGCTTTGAACAAAAGCGCATGATTCTCTTAACAAGTTGCAGTACAACTTGATAAGGGAATCATGGGCTTTGGTTATTTATTATTCTACAAACTCTTAAAAATACAACTAAATTATTTCTAGAAAGGTAGATCACACTTTCTTTTTCTGCATAAGCATACTATACTTGAGATCACTGCTAAAACTACGATTAATGGATCTCTGACATTAGAAGCTGTGTTTATTGCATTCGTTAAAAGCCATTACTTGTATCTGTTTCCCTGAAATTTTGTCGAGACTACAATTATTCCTATAGGCAATAACAGCTTCAATTACTAAGCAAACTAAATGTAGTTTCTTGAAAATTGTGGTGGTGATGCAATAATGGTAGCAATTTGTTTATGCTTTGGATGACATAGCACGGCTTTCCGCAACCTCAAACTCTTCCAGTTCCTATTTGCTAGTCACTGTCATTTTCTGACACCGGGACAATGTAGGCAAGCATGTTTATGACTATCAAGAGGTGACTAATACTATCAAAAAAAAAGCCATAATGGTAATCCATTACTGGTAATTCTGTTCTTTTATATAAACTTAAAGTTTGCGCTTAATAATGACTAGAAAGGTTGCCACGGGTGAACTTAGAGCATAAATAATAGCCCGTACCGTGCGACCACTAACTTTCAAGACAAGTTTGCTGTTCCCCCAAGCAAAGAATATTCTACGACCTTTTGTCACTTAGTAGCAGTTACTTCCAACTATATGATGTTCCACTGCAGTAGTCCATTCGTATTTCATCGCGTATATGTACGAAGGCCTTCAGCTTCGCAACAATTAGTAGATAAAGCAGCTTCTGCTAAGCTGTACCGGCATCCACCTGTTAGAACTCCTACAAGTTCCTCATTTCATCC